GCCTTTCTTTAAATTACATTCATTGACCGAAAAATAATTATCATATCCTTCATTACCCAACTTTCCAGTGGAAAAAATATTAAATCGAAGTTTCAGAATGTGTTTCATGCCTTTGAGAACTAGAGTAGTCTCACTGCTAGTTTCGACACAAATATATCCTATTTTGTTGACATTAGCTTGACTGTTATTTCCCATACGAACAACCCCAAAGTCATCGGTCTCGTAAGTTAAAAAAAGATCATGTCTCGAGGTTGCATGAGTAGAAGTACTATTATCAACTACCCAATCCATCTCATCACATGATAGATTGACATTCGTTATACAAATATCACAAACAACAAAGAAATCATCAACAGTAGCAATATCTTCATTATTGTTACCTTCCTTTTTGTTGTTGTTATAGTTCTTAATCTTATTTTCCCTTTTCAACTTCTGGAAATACCTTTTTATGTGTCCTTTTCCCCCACAATGATGACACTCATATTAGAGAATCTGTTAGAGCCTTCTTGTGATTTACCACGTGATGTCCCACGATTACTTGAACCTCTATTTTGATGTCTCTCCCTCGATTCGATAAACAACACGCAAGAATGTGAAGAAGAACCTCGTGACTTACACCTTAACTCCTCATTCAACACACTAATTTTAGCCAAGTCCATCGAGATGATACCTCTCGGATCAGAGTTAGACAAGGATGTCCTAAAAGTCTCCCAAGAATCAGGCAAAGTACCAAGAAGCCACAAACCTTAAATTTCATCATCAAAAGAAAGATTCATCGCTGAAAATTAATTTAGAACCCCTTGGAAAATGTTCAAGTGATCGGTCATTGGTTAACCATCAATATACCTCAATGGCATCAATTTCTTGAATAAGAAAAACTTATTATTCCCTGTCTTTCTTGCATACAACTCCCCAAGTTTGATCCAGAGAGAGAGCATGAGTCACCAAGCTCACATGATTCAAAACATTATCCTCCACCCATTGATGAATGTAACCATAAACTTGTCTATGCAACAAAGCTCATTCTTTATCACTCTTTCCATCGGGTTTTTCACTGGAGAAAACGAGCAAGTGAAAACCTTTAATATAAAGAAAATCTTCCATCTTCCTTTTCCAAACATTATAGTTAGATCCATTCAAACTCACCATCCTTGATGTTTTCGTCTCCATTGTTACACAAATCAAACCACGACTCTAGGTGCCACTTGTTGGGATGAAATCTACAACGCAACAAAATAATCCTACAACATATTTTCTCCCAAATATCAATACAACAACAATCAACAAAACAAATCAAATAGCACAACATAATTTTAGCTGGAAAAATCGCTATTAACTAGGAGTAAAAATCCACAGGCCCTGTAGGCCGCTTAAATCTCCATTATAATCAAACAATAGGTACAATAAAGGTTCTCTATAACACTAGTTAGAGGCATACATAAACACCATCAATATCTACAACTAATCTTAAAATACAACAAGAATCAAGAGAGGCAATCAATCAAAACAAACACAAAAACTACACCTCAGAAGTGGACTCGTCAGATAAACTTAGAGGGCTCAAATTTTGATCTCCTCTGTTCATAATGTACCTCTAGGAGTGCTAAACGCTGTCACCGAATATTAGGATGATCCGACGATTGGATAGTGAGAAAACTCTGATCTTATCAAACTACTCTGTGTTGAATTAGGGCTGCGGGAATTTCACTATTCTCACAATTTTTCTTTTGTTTTTCACCTTATAAACTATTGACCTAATTATATTTATTTTATAATAACAAAGACTTACACACACATGAGCTGTTGGGGTTGGTTGAAAATATACATGTTGAAAAAGTCTCACATCGCTTAGTTTTGTGAATGAAGAGAGAGACCAAGGCTATATAGGATATAAGTTCTTTGAAGTCTCACATTGCTTAGTTTTGTGAAGGAAGATGGAGTAAAGGATATATATATATATATATATATATATATATATATATATATATATATATATATATATATATATATATATATAATATATATATATATATATATATATATATATATATATATATATATATATATATATATATATATATATATATATATATATATATATATATATATATATATATATATATATATATATATAGATATATATATATAAGATTCAAGTTCTTCATTCCAAGAGGCACCAGTCAAAAGCACTTTAAGCTTGTATTTGACTTTCTTTATTCTCTTATACTCTTATATTAGAGTGTTGTGAGATATAGTTAAATATTTGTTTTGAAGGGTGTGGGTGTACTGAGAGTCTGAGTTAGTTGAGGGTATATCATGCGTTGTAACAATTTTCACATAGTGTTATTCTCTAGTTGTCTATTGACAATGACCGTAGTTTTTCTCTAGTTTTGGAGTTTCCACGTTATGTTCTTGTGTTGTGATTACGTTCCTATTTTTTTTCTTTGTGCTTTGTTTATTTTTTTCCCCAACAATTGGTATTAGAGCTTTTGGTTAGATTCGGGGATAAGTGTTATTAGTATGCTTCATGGTTGCAGTTTTATTTGATCTTCCACATCAAAAAAGAAGGGCAGTGTTATGAAAGAGTTATTGAGCTGCAGTCAAAAATTCTGTTGTGCAGTTTATGCTAGAGAAAATTGATGGAAGAGTTTTTTTTTACTTGTGAAAAGTTCAAGTCAAAGATCTGTTGATACAATCAAGATTACACGAGGTGCAATATTATGTCGGTGGTTGAAGAGCTTCCTGCCAACAAGAAAGTTGCACCATAATGTTTCAACATGATTTTCGACATGTGAAAATTCTTGAAGTGATTTAGCTTCAAGTGAAATATATTTTTCTTTTAGTGGAGTTTGATAGTTTTTAAAACTATGCTTGTTGGCGAAGACAATATGGAAATTCTTGGAGTGGTTTAACTTCAAATGAAATTTATTCTTCATGATAAAATATCTGATTATCGGTGATGACAATGTGAAATTCTTGAAGTAGTTTATCTTCTAGTGAAATAATTTCTTCATGAGAGAATATGATAGTTATTAAAACTATGATTGTCGGTGAAGACAATGTGAAAGTTCTTGGAGTGGTGTAGCTTCAAGTGACTATACTTTTTATGGTGGAGTATGATTGTTGGTGAAGACAATGAAAGTTTATGTATTATTCTCAATCAAGATGGAGATTGTTGAGGTTGATTGAAAATATACATGTTGATACTCTTTATGGTGGAGTATGATTGTCGGCGAAGACAATGAAAACTTATGTATTATTTTCAATCAAGATGGAGATTGTTGGGGTTGGTTGAAAATTCACATGTTGAAGAAGTTGCACATCGCTTAATTTTGTGAATGAAGAGAGAGTCCAAGACTATATAAGATACAAGTTCTTTGAAGTCCCACATTGCTTTGTTTTGTGCAAGAAGAGAGAGTCTAAAGCTATATATAAGATTCAAGTTATTTATTCCAAGAGGCACCAGTCAAAAGCACTTTAAATTTGTATTTGACTTTCTTTGTTCTATTATACTCTTATATTAGAGTATTATGAGATATAGTTAAATATTTGTTTTGGAGAGTGTGGATGTACCGGGGGTTTGAGTTAGTTGAGGTAATAATTTTCACATAGTATTATTTTTTATTTGTTTATTGACAACGATCATAATTTTTTCTCCAGTTTTAGAATTTCCACGTCGTGTATCGACAGAACTATGAATCATTTGTTATATATTTTTATTTTAATATTTTGTGTAAACAATTTAATTTTCGTAAATAAGATAGTTTATAAACAAATTAATTTATTAATGTTCTATGTAAATAGTGTAATGAAGATTTTTTTAAAAAGAATTAATTTTTTTTTTCGTTTTGGTCATAAATCAAGAATTCTGCGGCACAAATTTTAAAATTTTTTAAATAATTATTGTTGAAGATCGAACTAATAATTATTTTAACTATTTTTTCAATTATTCTAAAATTGAAGGATATACTGGAAAATTTTCATTACAAATAATTATTTTAACTATTTTTTCAATTATTCTAAAATTGAAGGATATACTGGAAAATTTTCATTACACATTTTATTAATATTTATAATTGGTGTTAAATCAACTTTGTATACAAAATTAAATGTGTTCTTTATATCCGTGAAAATTCGTCTACCGATAACTTATTTGAAATTCTCAGAGAGGGAACTAGTGAGAACTTTTCACCCAAATAACCAACATTTCACTCCTATAATTTCAATCTACCCAACATTTCACCATATATACCAATCTACCCATCTTTGACGTTTTTTTTTTAAATTACAAGGGGGCGCCATTGGTGTTGGAGCCACCCTTATAAATTATAAGGGGGCGTCATCCCTTTTGGAGGCACCCTATAATTTATAAGGGGGGCACCATCCCCTTTGGAGCCTCCCCTAAAGAGTTAAAGGGGGGCGCCATCCTCTTTGGAGCTCCCTTTATTTCATTTTATTTTTTAATTCTACTATAAATAATATAATTATAATTTAAAACTATTTTGGACTAAATTTTTTTGTATAAATAGTTAGACTTGTTTCATTCAAATTAACATTGTTTCATCCAAATTTAGGAGAGTGAGTCATGTATCTTAGAAGATATGGGCATGTAATTTTTTCAAGAACGAAGCCTCCGATAAGGAGGTTGTTTTGGAGCATCCAGAGTTTAGAGAAACTACGAAGAAATTTGAATCGGTAGTTAGATGGAGACATTCCAAATGGTGAAAGCATTAGGAGTATTGAAAGACTTGTCTCGTACTTCTCTGTTGAAGACAGAAATATACGGCGAGAGTGGGTGCGCACAACGCAGTTAGGTCAATGATGTTTGAAACTGATGATATTACTTTGATTGTTGTTATATCTTAGTTTATGTTGTAATAATCGTTATATTTTTAATGATTTGCGTAGTTGCTCTAGAAGTATTTCAATTTGTTTATGTGGTAATCATAAGTTGTTATAAATATTAAATTCCAAGGTTACACATTTTTTTAATGACCAAATTAAATATATCTAGAACTTGTTCCAACATTTGGACAATTATTCCTCGTATGCCCGGGAAGACGACATATTCCGCATAGTCTTTCCATTTTCTCAGTTGTATCCATTTCAGTTGTAATTCGCGTGCTTTTGGGGCGACCCTTTTTGTTTCTTCTCATATTTTCGTTGTGGTAGATTGTGTCTCCATGATAGGTTGGCCAATATTCCTCACTAGCTACCATTGGAAAACTGTTATTGTAGATACCGAATAAGTTCACGACCTTGTAAACTTCTGATAGCTGCAAGAATGGATCGTGACGAGCACTGGAACATGCGGAAATGACATGTGAACAAGGCATGCAGAAGGTTTGAAACTTTTCACAATCGTACCAATTTTTATGAAGTTCCACCCTGTAGTGTCCCATTGGCCGACCCTCGTTGTGATCCATTGTCTCATCAACAATGAAGCTGTAATCGTGACAATCAAATGGTCTAACTCGATGTGAGGCCACCTTAGAAGTTTCATCCTTCATATATTTCATACTTGATTCGCTGAATATTTGCCCTGATTCCAAAACAGTGCTTCATTTTTTGCCTCTTGCCGCAAAAAGTGACCCCAATCTGTAATAGGTTGCTTTTACCAACGCAGTGATGGGGAGGTTTCTAGTTCCCTTAAATACGACGTTCAGGGATTCCACAAGATTTGTGGTCATGTGACCCCATCTGCATCCTCCATCAAAAGTCCTTGTCCATTTCTCGACTGGAATGCTATCCACCCACCTTAATGCTTCCGCGCTTGACAACCTTATTTCTTCGTGGTAATACATGAACGGTGGTTGGTTTAAGGCATACCCAGCATTCACAACTTCTTTACGGAGATTTCTGTCTTTCATTTCCCGCATAAAATTCTGAGCAATGTGCCTTATGCAGTAGACATGGACAGAAGGAGGATTGTGCCAACCATTAGCAAGATTGTTGTAGGCGCTCACAATAGAGGCATGTCTGTCGAAAATCAGACATAAGTTGGGTTGAGGAGCGACATGTGTTCTGAGATTTCTGAGGAAGAAACTCCAAGCTTCACTTGTCTCACCCTCGACCAGGGCAAAGGCACTCGGAAATATATTATTATTTTTGTCTTGTGCAACCGCCATCAACAATGTTCCTTTGTATTTTCCATACAACCATGTTCCATTGACTTGAATAATCGGTTTGCAGAACGCAAAACCTTTGATACATGGTTGAAATGCCCAAAAGAGACGAGAGAATATCCTACTTCCATCTACACATGTTACTTCAGGAGTGTATGCTGGTAGTGACTCCAATATTACAACCGTACCAGGAATATATTTTTGAAGTGCTAGTAAATACTATGGAAGTTGATTGTAATATTTTCCCCAATTCCCATATACATGTTCAACAGCTTTTATTTTTCCAATCCAAGCTTTCCTGTACGATGGGGTATAGTTGAACCGTGCAACAATATGAGAGATAATTGTGCTCACCTTCACAGATGGATCTACGCCCACAAGATGCAAAATCTCTTGGGATATCAATTGAGAGCTTACTTTTCCATGATCTTTCCGATTGATGTTGGTTGTACAACTATGAGATGGATCCATCGAACCTATAACCCAACAATCACTTCTTTCTGATAGGACGCTGCTAACCGAAACTTGCAACCTGCGTTACGACAAACTACAACATAGGGTTTCGAGTCGTTCTGATTGATGTAAAAATCAACGAAGTTATCCATATGAAACTTTCTTATAGCTTTCATGCACTCTTCTTTTGTTCGGTACTAGTTTCCCACTTTCAAAACACCTTCAATTTGTTGAGAAGGATTGTAGAAAACATTTGAGGAAGTATCGTCTCCACTCAATTGCAAGTTCGTCATGTGTTGGGGAGGACAATACATATGCCTTAATGGTAGTGTCTCCTCATCTATGTCTTGAAGCGGAGTTAGTGCAGTGTAGTCCCCAGTCTCGAACAAATTAACCATTTGATCAACCATGGCCTCAGTTTCTTCTTCCTCCTTGTCCACGACATCAACTTCATCTACATTTGTTGTTTCACCAACTTGATGTTGAGTCTGGCAGAGTAATAGATAAACCTCGATATAGTCGAACCCAGAGTGTTCATGACTATCAAACATTTGATCTACTTCGTTGTCGTCTTGTATTTTCTCTTGAAAATACTTGATCTGATTGTTGTCAAAGAAAACGAAACTTCTGTATATGATTTGAGAGATTGGACCAGACAATATCTTCGACTCTATTCGCTTTTTGAAATGCAAAAAAATTGATTTTCTACTCACTGTTAATCGGGTAACATCTGTATTTTGAAACCCAAAACCCGAATCCTCAGAGATGTAAGTGTCTCCATTAAAATGTGCATGAACAATATAATTTGTTGTTCTAGACATATTTGAATAAAAGTGTAAGAGTGTAAGAGATGTGTTTACAAAAAATGAGATGTATTTAATTTTTTCTTGAATGTATCCATAAATAACAAAAAAGGAAGGGGCGTCATACGGGTTGCTCCCCTTCCTTAATATTTAAGGGAGGCGCCATAGGGGTTGGCTCTCCCGTGACATGTGTACGAAAAGTGATATTTGCATGCATGCAGAATGACAAGTGTGGTATAATTTCTACACACTTCATCCATCTCATTTACTTCTCTCTACAACAATTAATATTTCAATTACAAAAATTTAATTTTTACCTCAACCACCATAAATTCCAAATTCAAATTTCAAAATTCAAATTCAAATTTTTTACTATAAATACTTCTCCTCCTCATTGTCAAAAACTCATCAAATATATTTCACAATTCAAATTCTACCAATATTTTCTTCATATATTCAGACTATATAAGAAATGTCTCTGTTAACATTGGGCGAAATGGATAGAGGAACACCAAGCAACATCGCGTCTTATGTAAGTGTTTGTTAACATTGGGCGAAATGGATAGAGGAACACCAAGCAACATCGCGTCTTATGTAAGTGTTTGTACCCGATAATACATAATGTTGTATTGATTTGTAGCATTATAATGTTTTTACAAATACAATGTTGTAATGATTTGTTTTATTGTTTTGTAGAATACCCATGACTTCCGAACTCGTGGGCATAAACATTCCCACATGACCCGATAATTAAACCATTTTTGGAGCGCGCAGGATTCCGAGAAGTCATCAAAATAACAAATTATCTCCTTGATACCAAGTTCATTTTTATTAGTAATAATTCATATTTTATTATATTATTTTCTTAAGCCCATAAGTTTGTTAGAGGGCATTTCAGTATTTTATCTTATTCTAGTAACCCTAGTTTTAGCCTATAAATAGGGTGACAATCATTGTAACTCTTAATCCTGTTTTCTTCTGCCGTCATTCTCTTTAATAGAATATTTCCCTATTTTCATCATTTATTCTATCTTTGCACCAACAATTGGTATCTAGAGCTCCGGTTCAGATTCATTGGGAAACACGGGAAACACGAGTGAAAGTGAGGTCTTGTGTGTTTGATTTTGATTCTTAGATTCGTGTTGAATCTTGAACAAAATCTGATCAGAATTTTATTCTGTGGGTTGGGAAACACTGTGTGAGAAATCTGAGTGTATTGTGCAAAGTAGAAGATGAACGGAAACGGCAACATGAACACCAAACTTCCAGTATTTGATGGTAAAAACTGGAATCGTTGGATGATCCAAATGCGTGTACTATTTGGTGCTCAAGATGTTCTAGATCTTGTCACTGATGGTTATGTTCCAGTAGCAGCAGATGCAACCGATGAACAGAAAAACGCGCAGAAGAAAGTAAGGAAGAAGGATCAGAAAGCATTGTTCTTCATTCATCAATGTGTGGATGTAAACGTGTTTGAGAAGATTGCAGACTCTACAACAGCAAAGGCTGCATGGGACACTCTGGTGAGATGTTATGGTGGTGACGCATCAGTGAAGAAGGTGAAGCTTCAGTCCTTGAGAAAGCAATATGAGAATCTCAACATGAAGAATAATGAGAAAGTTTCTGAATACATCTCCAGAGTGATTCTGATCACTAATGAGATGAAGGCATGTGGAGAAACTCTTTCTGAAGAAACAATCATGGAGAAAGTGTTGAGATCCCTTACTCCTCAATTTGATTACATTGTGGTAGCAATAGAACATTCCAAAGATCTGAGCACAATGAGAATTGAAGAGCTGCAGAGCAGTTTAGAAGCGCAAGAGTTACGTTTGACTGAGAGAACTTCTGAAAGGGAAGTAGAGCAGCAGGCTCTGAAAGCAATTTCTGATAGGAGGTATCAGAAGCAGTCAGAAGCCAAGAGAAGATCTGATGGTGGTCAGAAGTCAGAAACCTCAACCTCTGATAGACAAAAGAATGCTCAGAAGGGAAAAGAGAAGTATGACAAGAAGAAGATCCAATGTTACTGTTGTAAGAAGTTTGGTCACTTTGCTATAGATTGTTGGTCAAACAAGGAGAAGAAATCAGAAGAAGCAAATATAGCCAGAAGTTCTGATGACGAATCTGTGCTATTGATGGCCTCTGAATCTGATGATCTGACAGACTGGTGGTATATGGACACTGGCTGTTCAAATCATCTTACTGGAAACAAGAAATGGCTGGTTGACTTTGACTCTGAAAAGAGAACAAAGATCAGATGTGCTGATGACAAATATCTTAATGCAGAAGGTATGGGAAATGTCAGAGTGACTCTGAACAATGGGAAAATAGCATTGATTCAGAATGTGTGGTATGTACCTGGCATCAGAAGCAATCTGATGAGTGTGGGACAATTAATTGAGAAAGGTTTTTCAGTTACCATGAAGGATAATCTTCTGAAGCTGTATGACTGCAATCAGAAGTTGATTATGGAGTCAGAACAGGGAAGGAATAGAACATTCAAGGTGAATGTCAGAACTGCAGACTCAGAATGTCTTAGTGCAACAAGTGCTGAGAAGGAGAGTGAGCTGTGGCACAGAAGATTTGGTCATTTGAATTTCAGAAGCCTAAAACATCTGAATTCAAAGAAGCTGGTACATGGAATTCCTGCAATTAAGAAGCCTGAGAAGTCATGCAAAGTTTGCATGGAAGGAAAACAACCAAGATTGCCATTTGCATCAGAAGTTGCTCCAAGAGCAAAACATGCCTTGGGAGTTGTACACTCTGATGTGTGTGGTCCATTTCCAGTAGCATCAATTGGAGGGAATAAATACTTTGTGCTGTTTGTTGATGAATTCACAAGAATGACATGGGTATCCCTTATTAAGTTCAAACACGAGGTGTTTGATGAATTCAAGAAGTTCAGAATGAAGGCTGAGAATCAGAGTGGTCAGAAGTTGAAGATTCTTAGAACTGATGGTGGAGGTGAGTATAACTCCAAAGAGTTCCAGAAGTTTTGTGAGGAGAATGGAATTGAGCATGAGGTTACTGCTCCTTATACCCCTCAACACAATGGTCTTGCTGAAAGAAGAAACCGTACTTTGCTTGATATGGTGAGAAGCATGCTAAAGGAGAAGAAGCTTCCTCAGAAGCTCTGGGGAGAAGCTGTTGCCACTGCAACGTATGTACTCAACAGATGTCCTACGAAGAAGTTGAAGGAAATAGTTCCTATGCAGAAGTGGACTGGAGACAAGCAAAGTGTTAGTCATCTGAAGGTGTTTGGTTCTGTTTGCTATAAACATGTTCCAGAAGCCAGAAGACAGAAGCTGGATGATAGAAGCAAAGTGATGATTCTGATAGGGTACCACAGTACAGGTGCATACAAGCTCTATTGTCCAGAAACCAATAAAATTGAATTCAGCAGAGATGTGATTGTGAAGGAATCAGAAGTTTGGAATTGGGATAAGTCTCAATCTGATTCTGATGTTAGAACCTCTGAAGAAAGGCCAGAGTTAAGAATTTCTGAAGTTGAAGTAAACCCTGATATTGACTCTGACTCTGATACTGATTCAAACTCTGAAGAAGACTCAGAAGATGAAGGTGACCCAGATGACCCAGACTCTGATGATTCAGACTCTGATGGCAATCCAGATCTTGGTGGCAATTCAGACTCTGGAAATATGTCAGACTCTGAAGATGGTCAAAGCTCTGGAGGTCAATCATCTGAAGCTAGAAACTCTGAAGCTCAAGACTCTGAAAAAGTTCAGAGACCACAAAGAATCAGAAGCGTTCCCAGAAGATTTGCAGAATTTGACATGCTGCAAGACACTGAAGTAGACTCTGAAGGAGAAGTTATTCAGTGTGCCATGTTAGTAGACTTTGAACCTATAAGTACAGAGGAGGCTCTTAAGCAGAAGCTCTGGCTGAAGGCCATGAAAGAAGAACTTGATGCTATAGAGAGAAACAAGACTTGGAAGCTGACAGAACTTCCAAAAGACAAGAAAGCCATCAGCGTCAGATGGGTTTTCAAGCAGAAGTTAAAGCCAGATGGCTCAATTGGCAAACATAAAGCAAGGTTGGTAGCCAGAGGATTTCTACAGAAACCTGGGCTGGATTATTCTGAAGTGTTTGCACCTGTAGCAAGACATGAAACAATCAGAATGGTGATTGCAATAGCTGCTAACAGGAATTGGCCTCTGATGCATTTAGATGTAAAATCTGCATTTCTGAATGGTCCATTAGAAGAAGAAGTTTACGTGTCACAACCTCCTGGATTTGTGAAAAAGAATCAGGAAGGGATGGTGTACAGATTATACAAAGCTCTATATGGATTGAAACAAGCGCCCAGAGCTTGGAATCAGAAGATTGATTCATTTTTCAAGAAGCAAGGCTTTCAGAAATGTGAGATGGAGTACGGTGTCTATGTTCAGCATACTTCTGAAGGCAATATGACTCTGGTATGTTTATATGTTGATGACATACTATTGACTGGAAGTTCTGAACAGGAGATAGCCAAGTTCAAGAAGGTTCTAATGAATGAATTTGAAATGACTGATCTAGGCAAAATGACATACTTTCTAGGGATGGAGTTCAGATATTCTGAGAAAGGTATCATTTTGCATCAGCTCAAGTATGAATTAGAACTTCTGAAGAGATTTGATCTGAAGAATTGTAAGATGGCTGTCACACCTTCTGATACAAATCAGAAACTGGATTCAGACTCTGAAGGAAAGGATGTGGATGCTACAACCTTCAAACAGTTGGTTGGTTCTCTGAGGTATCTGTGCAATACCAGACCTGATATTTGCTACTCAGTTGGGATGGTTAGTAGGTTCATGAGTAAACCTAAGTGGTCCCATTATCAAGCTGCTGTCAGGATTCTGAGGTATATTAAAGGAACTCTGAAGTATGGAGTGTTATTTCCCTCTGGAGGAAATAATGAGTCAGAACTTCTGAGTTATTCAGACTCTGATTGGTGTGGAGACAGAGTTGACAAAAGAAGTACATCTGGGTACTTGTTCAAATTTCTGGGAGGTCCCATTTCTTGGTGTTCCAAGAAGCAACCTGTTGTGGCGTTATCAACCTGTGAAGCTGAATACATTGCAGGTGTTGTTACTGCATGCCAAGCTGTGTGGATTCTGAATCTGTTGCAGGATCTGAAGATTAAAGTAAACAAACCTCTGAAGCTGATGATTGACAACAAGTCTGCAATCAATCTTGCCAGAAACCCAGTGTTGCATGGGAGAAGCAAGCATATTGAGACCAAGTATCATTTTCTGAGACATCAAGTTCAGAGTGGAGTGTTAGAAGTTGTACACTGCAGCACTCAGAAGCAGTTGGCAGATGTTCTGACGAAAGCTATCAAGACTGATCAATTTCTCAGATTAAGGGATGGAATTGGTGTTACAAGTTTTGATGGAATATGAATTAAGGGATGGTATTAGTAATAATTCATATTTTATTATATTATTTTCTTAAGCCCATAAGTTTGTTAGAGGGCATTTCAGTATTTTATCTTATTCTAGTAACCCTAGTTTTAGCCTATAAATAGGGTGACAATCATTGTAACTCTTAATCCTGTTTTCTTCTGCCGTCATTCTCTTTAATAGAATATTTCCCTATTTTCATCATTTATTCTATCTTTGCACCAACAATTTTGGCACTGCAAGAAAGGTGGCGACCCAAGACGCATACATTTCATCTTCCAATAGGTGAATGTGCAGTTACTCTCGAGGACACTCACATGTTATTGGGTTTACCCATTAATGGTAAGGCGGTAAACGGTCTCACCAATCCTAGCGGTAGTGTGATAGAAGAACTCTTAGGGGTTGAACTAACCCCAAGAGATTTGAGGGGCCAAAAAATATTATTATCATGGCTCAAAAGAATTTTTGAAGATATGAGGTTAACCCAAGATTCTCTAGAAATATTGAAAATAAGAAAAACAAGAATTTATATTATGTTACTAATAGGTTTATTTTTATGTCCGGATACAAGTGGTAATGTTGTCCACTATATGTATTTAGTTTTATTAGATGATATAGATAAAATAAGAACATTTAGTTGGGGGTCCGCTACACTAGCGCGTGTTCTTCTTCAAGCTTGGGGATGGTTAAGGATGACCAATCTAGCACCTATCCAACAAAATAATTTTGAATTCCTATATGCTACAAGGTAATTACTTAGACCAAGAATGACCAATCTTTCATAGTCTTTTACTTAATTAATCCTATTATTAACAAATGTTTTCTTTTCGATTTGTAGGTGGTCTTCACTTGGGATGAATTACGACAACTGTCCCCATTTCAGTATCACCCAATACATAAATCTTATAGATCATTTGGGGATGTAAGTACTAAATATTATTAAAATATAGTATCCTTAACCTACCTATTCAGAATATAGTCTCCTTAAATATTATTAGAAAATACTAAATATTATTTTTTTCTCCTACAGTTTATTTGGCGGCCATATCTTGGTCTAGAAGCCATTCATGAAGTTAACCAACACGACTCTGCAGTGTGGAGTGCAAAGGTGCCGATTATCAACTTCACCACCGTGGAGATGCACAACAGTGATCGTGTAAAGCTTCAGTTTGGAATGCTTCAAGATATTCCATGTCCTCCGAAATGCATCCCGACAAATATCACACTGGTAAAGTCTCCGACCAATGGGAATATTCTCCATGGACCAAGTATGCAAAACATGAGTGTCGTGAATGGAGGCATCACAACCATTTTGTTTTGTCTGACACTGTGTTTCCATACGAGAAAAAACAGACTATCAAATACATGAATTGGTATAAGGAGGTATCCATTGGTTTCATTTCGCATCCAAGATATCTTGTTGACCCAAGTCAACAAGCCTCATCATCAAGACCCTAACAACCAACCCAGCCCTATTTCCAACCGCCAACCCAACCCTATTTCCAACCGCCAATCCAACCCCATTTCCAACCGCCAATCCAACCCCCACTCACATAACCACAACTATATGAACATACCCCTAACCAATTCACCTCATTCACACAAACTTATTCACAGTCCGAATACCAACAATATCCACCACAATACCAAACATACTCCATGGATACTACAAACCAAATAAACACCCAGTTTCAAACACCAAATCAACCCTTACCCACCCAAACATTTACGCCCATGTCACCCTACGACCAGGCAGGCTATCGTCCTGACATTGCCTCATCCAGCCAACCACCCCAAAATAATTATGAAGGCATGGGCAGTCCTTTTGATTTGGATGACTTTACGGAGATGGAATCGTCTATATGGGCCGAAGTGATGCAATTTCTTGAAGACGACACGATGGACCCGACTCCACCACAAAGACGATCAAGAAACGTACGTAATCGAGGATGCGATACGGGCGGACATTTAAACTGACCTAGTCGTAGAAATTAGTGTACCATATCACTCATATGTACCCATTTGTGATTAAATGAAAATTGTAATTATTATTTAATATTAAATTTATTAAATACAATTTAATTTTTATTTATTATTTGGAAATTATTAATGAAAATATTAATTATTATTTATCTATTAATTTTTAAAAATATAAAAATATATAGTGGAATGTTGGTAAGAATGGAATTTAAAGGGTGTATTTGGATGAAAAATTCAACTATGTCTATTGTGCACCACCATTTGCTTATAATTTATTTCAATATTCTTTTGCCGAGAAAGATGTGTTTGTCTATATTTAAAGTCAATCGGTTGGCAAAAGAATTGTTCAAATTGAGAGGTAGCTTGTAGATATAATTCATACAGCAAATGCCAACACTGACATAATAATATTCATATTTTCTATTTTCTATACTTAGCCAGCAATGTTTGATTAGAAGACCCAGCAAACATGTACTAACATAAATTTATCAAATATAAATAGTTTCAACTACATCTTTTTATAACATGGATCAATCTCTCCATAAACTATAAAGAATAATTTATTGAACTGAATAAGACTACATACACAAAAAATTTAACACTACTGAATTCTGAGTTTAAAACCAGTAATAGTAATTAGACCTGCATTCTCACTTACACTTACACATTAGAAAAAATAAATAAATAATTACCAGAGAAAAGAGAATCAACTGAATAACTATAAGAACTATCTTCCAGAAAAAACAGTAGTGGACAATGAATAGGTAGAAGAATTACATTCTACATTGCTTTGTATAGACATATTAGAGTCCATCTTTGATATATTAATACTGCTATCAGCAACATTATCATCATCGTCGTCACATAGAAAATCAACCAGAATCATTTTTGTAGCAGGTGGTTGATCCACCATAACACGACCTTCAAGCATGTCTACCACTTTAGCCATACTAGGTCTCAACCTTGGCTTCTCTTGAACACACCATAAAGCAACATACACCAATTTAATCACCTCATTCTCGTCAACACCACCATATTCCATTAACCTATCATCAACAATTTCCATTATTTTCCCTTGTTTCACTTTCTCATTTACAATCTTTGGAAAATATTGCCATTTCCTTTTCGACTTGTACTTTTCGTCTTCCACTAAACAAACATTTTTTCTTCCTCCAACAATCTCTAGTAAAACCATTCCGTAGCTATATACATCTGTTTTATCTGAAATACCTTTTTCTAAAAGCCATTCCGGTGCCATGTAACCTCTTGTTCCTCTTATTGTAGACATGGCTTGGCTTTCGTCTTTTGGAGTAAGTTTTGATAGACCGAAATCGGAAACAAGTGCTCTAAAACTCTCGTCCAATAGTATATTTTCTGGCTTTATATCAAGGTGTAAGATCCTTGATCTACAATCATGGTGAAGATATGCAAGTCCTTTAGCAACATCAACTGCAACTTTATATCTCAAGCTCCACGACAAACATCCGCTACGTCGCGGACGCCTTTGAGAATCTCTTTTGGGAAAAATCCAACAATCCAATGACCCATTTGAGATAAAATCATAAACAAGGTACCTAGGAGCTGAAGAAGAATTACAATACCCTAAAAGTCTCACAAGATTCACGTGATGAACACTAGCTATTGCTGCAACTTCTGATTTAAACTCTCTTTCTCCTCTTTCTTCTGCGTGGATTCTTTTCACAGCAACTGAAGTTCCATCATTCAGAATTCCTTTGAAAACCGAAGCTGATGAACCTCTTCCAATAAGTGATTGAAATCCATCCGTTGCTTCTTCAAGCTCGTTGTATCTGAACTTTGTTGGAACCCCAGCAACTTTTCTTAAGAAACTGTACTCTATTCGAAGCTCTCGACTTTCTGATTTCAACTGTGATTCCAATATTCTCCTTCTGCGTTTGTGGCTTAAGCTGATAAATGCAAAAGCAAAGATTGCAAAGATCACAGCAACACCAGCGCCACAGATTAGGAAGAAAATCTTGGAGACGACAAAAAATCGAGCAATGATTATGATAATGATCACTGTAATCACAGATAGAACAACAATTATTTTCGCTTTTCTGTCTTCCATCTGAAACTAATATTTTCAGTTTAATGGTAAAAGATGGAATTGAAGATTAATGTGTTGTTAATATCTATTCTTCCAACTTTGTAATAATCTCATGAGAACAGAAAAGTTGAAACGTTCATTAGTTTTGCTTGTAATTACAGATAAAGGACGAGCAACGTGCATTTGAATATTACTATATATATTGGTCAAATTCATTAGAATATTACTAAAAAACAAGATGTGGAATGTTTCCATTTTCAAAACATCTGAAATTCTAAAATATTGGGTAGGCTTTTAGGATTTACATATTCATATAGACTTGCTAGGAAATAATGAAAATCTTGAAACTCCTTGCAGTTCTATTGTAGTATTGGATTTCAGGAGTCAGAAGCTGCTTCAGCTATAGCAATTCGGATGTAACTGATGTCAAAGCTCTGTACTCTGATTTAGCTGATGATTTTGAGACTGTTGACTGTTTTTTGGATTTTAAGTCACCAATGATTCTCTAAAGAAAATGCAAAAATTTGTGGTAGATTTTCTTGTTGTGATGCAAATTCCCCAATCTGCATCATAATAAGCAGAGAAGGGTTTGAAGAAAACAATATTCATTGATACCAGGTTCCATAGGCAGTGATAACAACATATGAAATGTCAGGCCTGAAAATGGTGAGGTACAATTACATGTCAATGATTCTCCTATACTGAAAGACATCTTCAAGTAATGACCCTTCTTCATCATTAAAAGTGACACCAGGTTCCATAGGCAGAGATAGTGGTTTGGCATCTATAAAACTTATGTCCATGAGCAGTTGCAATGTATATTTGTTTTAGCATAAGTGGATCCCTTTATTTGAGTGTGCAATTTACAATTCAAGAAAGTATTTGCGATCTCCTAGTAACTTCAACTTAAACTGACTTTGGAGCATATTTTGGGTTTCTTGAACAAGCTTAGGATCAGGACTGGCAAGGACAATGTCATCAACATAAACTAGAAGGACAACTAGTGAATCACCTGTTCCTTTAACAAATAATGAATGGTCAGGTGATAATTGTGTGAAGCCATATTCCATGACAGTTGTAGAAAACTTGTGATACCACTACCTTGAAGCTTGTCTTAAGTCATAAAGGGATTTATTGAGTTTGCATACCATGTTCTCCCCCTCACTTTGATAACAAAATGACAGATCCATATAGATTTCTTCACTTAAATCCCCATTTAAGAAGGCATTGTTTATGTCAAGTTGTGCTAGCTTCCAATTCTGAGCAGTAGCTAAGCTAAGAACAACTCTTACGAATGTGAGTTTTGCCACTGGTGAAAAAGTATTTATGAAGTCAATGTCAGGTTGTTAAGTATAACCTTTGGCAACCAAGCGAGCCTTTTGTTTATCTAAGGAACCATCAACATTGAACTTTATTTTGTAAAGTCATATACACCGAATGGTCTTCTTTCCTTGAGGAAAGGCTTGTATTGTCTAAGTATTGTTGGCCTCTAGAGCTGCTATTTCCTCACTCATGGCTTTGCACCATTCAGGGATCCTTGCTGCTTGGTGATAGATCTGGGGCTCATAAACAGATGACACATTCATGACAAACTCTTTGTAATGAGCAAACAGTTTTTTTATAAGACAACACACCAGTGATAGGATGAGGGACATGGCACACAAAGTCTTTCAAGTTACCTTCTTATGACAGTTATATTTTGGCCATTTAACACAATAGGATTTATGTTGTGTATAAGTTCTGCAGGGTTAGGGCTGTCATGATGGACATCTATATTGTTTGGTATAAAATCATCAATATCATGAGGTAAATGATCATAAATGGAATTTGGCAAGGCTATGTTATGAAAGTGATCGTTATAGCTGTTATTATCAGATAATGAATGGAAGAGGAAAGTGTCTTCATGGAAAACAATGTCTCTAGATACATGAAAGGTCTTGGACACCAAGTCATACACTTTGAAACCTTTGTAGCCAGTAGGATAGCCAAGAAAATACAAGGAATGACTCTAGGAGTAAATTTGTTTCTATGTTGAGGAATTGTGGAAATGTAGCATAGACATCCAAAAAATTTGAACTCAGAGTATGCAACCAGTTTGTCATAAAGGAGTTCATAAGTTGGCTTACTCTTCAAAATTACTAATGAAGTTCTATTTATGATAAATTTGGTTGTTGCTATACAATCTCCCCAAAATTTGATTGGTAGCTTGGCTTGAAACATCAATGACCTTGCTACATTTAGCAAGTGTTGTTGTTTTCTTTCCACCATTGAGTTTTGCTAAGGTCTATAAGGAAAAGGGTATTGATGGATACTGCCTTGCTCGTGAAGGAATTGAGTCATTCATAGCTCCTTGGCATTGTCAGATCTCATAACTTTAATGACTTTGCCAAACCTCGTCTTTATAAGTATAAAGAACTGTTGTATCTGGATGGGAGCTTTTGATTTGTTAGTTAGCAAATAAATCCATGTGAAACGACTGAAATCATTAACAATGGTTAGAAAATATGATTTTCCATTATATGAAGGTTTTCCATAAGGACCTCATAAATCACAATGAATAAGATCAAAATCGTTGGCAGAAAAATGATTTTCAGATTTAAAAGAAAGTTTTTTCAACTTTGCAAGAGGACAAATAGTACATTTTTGTGAATCACAATCAGGGGGTACAATGAGTTGAATTTTATTGCTAGCATCTCTAAGCATAGAATCAGATAGATGCCCTAACCTAAGGTGCCATAACTAGGTATTATTACTAGCTAAAACTACATTACAAGAGCTAAGTGTATTAAAAGATCTATGTGAGTTAACATGATGTTTGGTATTATTTGCCCTGAGAATGTACAACTGTGACATGAGATCACCCTTTCCAGTCATCTTGGATTGCTTGGTGTCCTGAATTGAAAGTTGATCACCATCAAAATCAATTTTATGTGTGTAAGAGCAAGTAACTTAGCTACTTAAATTAGATTGACATGAAAAGTGGGAATGAATAAGATATCATGAAGAATCAATTTATCATTGATAAAAACTTTACATATGAGAGGTGGAATCTAATATGAGAGGTTTGTATGACTCAAAAAATGAGATATTGCAATAAATATGAGAGGTGGCATCTATGTCTATGATCCAATTGCTAGAGGATTATGATTTATGAGAGTCAAGAGTGCAAAAAACTTATACCTATTGTAACACCCGAAAATTTTCTATCTCTTTTCTTAACCTCAACTGGCTTGTGTTTCTCATTCTTCTGCATCTACATTAGGTTATAACTTTACATCCATAATCATGCATTTTATTGAGCTCCTAGGACATGGATATAAGCATTTTCCTTTGGTTTGGGTTTTTCGTATTCAGAAGATTCTTCAAGTATCAAGTTTATTTTCTTCAATATTTTCCAAGAGGCATCAAGTGATTAGGGTTTTATCATGGTTGTAATTGAGGCTGAGGAACTAGTGTTTTGTTGATTGTCAACATCTCAGGCTGTTTTCTTCACCAATATGCATTCAAGGTGACTTGGGGTTTCTTATTCATGGTTGGGTTTGTGGACATTCCATCAACTGAGGATCATTGGATATCAAAATGTTCTTCCAATTTCATTTCCTTGTTGCCTAAGTTTATGCCTCAGGAACGTGTGCAGTATGGATTGAGAATCACTAGGTTTGACCCAATCTTTGTCAGGAAAAAGTGTTCGTTTCGAGAGCAAGGCCAGGGTGTACACGATTCAGGTGATGTGTGCCAGAGATTTCAGTTAAGGGTTTGTATGTAAAGTTAGGTCAATTGTGAGTAAAACAAGTTCTCAGTTTGTGCCAAAGCATGCGCTGTAGGATTGAGAATCATATGGAGGTTGTTCGTCTCAATTAGGGTTTTGGAGCATTCGTAATGCAGTTCACATCACAAGGCATCATTTTATGATTTCAAGACATTTTGTTGCTCATTTGGTTCATGGTGCAATAGTTGGTTCATCGGCGCAAGTGGCAAAGTTCAGGTGTATCTACTGATTCAAGGCGTTAGATCATTCTCTGTTCAGGATTAATTCAGGCTCATGATAAATTGGTATCCATATGAAGGTTCAAGGCAATTGAAAATTCAAAACTTTTATTCATCCTAGAGTTACATTTCATCACATGGAGGTTCAAATTGCAAATTCAAAGCTATACTTAAATTGGATTACAGAGTCAAGAATGGAAAATGTCAAATTATTCGAATTCAAAGTCATTCCAAACATGTGGTTCAAAGGTAAAGTCCATTTCATAAACAAAAAGCTCCTTGTGCCTTTATCAAATAAATACCAAAGTCTTACTAAATAAAATTCATTAAAAAAATACCAAGACCAAAGCCCATTATCAAAACAAAAATGAGATCAAATTAAAAAAAGAAGGAAAAGTCATCAAGTTGCTACTACACAACAAAGAGTAGCGTGACACGACCCACAAAGCTTTATCACATACACCAAAAGCAACAACATCAGTAACAAAAGCCATCACATCTGTAGCTACTACCACACGACAAACTGTACTATTCCATACTGCAAGCTGCAACCATCACCAACATTTCCAATATTTCAATAACCATACCACAAAACCTTGCCAAATGCACCTGCACGCACATGAACTTTCAGCAAAACCTTGCCACACAAATTGCACAACAGATTGGAAAACAAGAATTATTTGAACATCAATTTGTAGCACAACAAACTTTCACACAAAACCATCACGGGACCCACCATGATTTACAAAACCAATTTCAATACCTGCGTAAATACTGTCATAACAAAAACAACCTTCAGCAAGTACAATCCATACATATCCACAACAATATAAATTCTGCACAACTTGCGTAATACACAAAAACAAACCAAGTTGCGACCTGCTCACACCTCAACGCAAAACCATACTTTCTACCTCAAAAAGCTACTTTTTGAACCTTACAATTCCTCCATCTTCCTTAAAACCTCAAATGAAAAAACCTTCCATCTTCAGCTGTTCTTCTTCTTCAACCTCAATCCAACCAAATTTCAGAAT